AATATTATTGAAGAACTTTAATGTTTTGAGGTATAATGATGAAACAAAGAAGCAAGATAGTTTCCCTGTTGCTGTGTATGTGAACTTAGATACAGGAGATGACATGAAAGTTTTTAATACAAAGCTTCAAACGGTAGTGAGAGAACAACTGACTGCGGAAGGGCATCCATTACCTTCAGAAGTTACCATAGCATATAATTTTGAAACAAATCAATAGATTTTAAATCGTCTCTGCAAAGAAGTCAGGTTTTACATTTAATGAAGCAGATGTATATTCGAATGAAAACTTCAAAGCTATTGCATGGTTAGATAATGACGATTGCTTTAAGAAAATATTTAAATACAGTGACTCAACGATGTCAATAGATGACCTTCGTGGAATGTTACCATCGACGTTTACAGTAGAAGGTTCAGCAGGATTGCTTACAAGATTGTCAATTGGTGGTATTTGGTCTCGTGAGAACATTGTTATAAAATCCAGTATAAGTGAATTTGCTGAAGAATCTATATTATGTCTTTCAAACTACATGTATTCGCCGCCGAAGCATTATAGTATAACAAACTTTGTCAGTAAGTTTAACATAAGACTTGTCGAACCTTCTTCAATGAAAGATGTTGTGCTACCAAAGACGGAAAGGATGGACTCATTATTGAGATGATTTTAATAGCATATTAAATGAGCTTGTTCTTGAAGGTCATTCATGATGAAATAACTGTTGTAGAAGATGTTAGCAATTGTTCAGACATTTTGAAGCGTATAGATGATATAAGAAAGAAGTTAGATAGACCGCAAAGCGGTGAGGGCGAAGCCCGTGAGAACGCTTATGTTTCATTGACTTTCTCCAGTAACGAGAACTTTTATGAGATAATATTGAAGAGAGATGATTTTAATATGGTGTAAATGGTAGCTTGGGCAGCTTTAGGCGCAATGGGAACAAAAGCATTAGTATTTGGAGCAAAAGCACTTGGAGCTTATGACGCAGTAAATAAAATGAGTGGAGGAAGGGTTTCGAAGACATTAGATGCAAATAAAGGGAAGATTGGAGGCTGGGTTGCAAAGAAGTTAAGATTAAATAAAATAGGGCTCATAAATAAAGCATCCAATTTGGTTGCGACTGAGTCAGAAAATGCTTTAGGAAAGGACGATGCGTTTGCAAAACACGCAAAAGACTTTAATGACCAGATGAAAGGTGAAACAATGCATTTAAATAGAGTCGATGGAACTAAAGAAAATGTTTCTTCTCCACCAGTAGTTCTTCCGTATGGTCCTATGGAATGTATGGAAACCCTTATGAACGACCATTTGACCCATTGACTGGTGGAAGTAACTGGTATCATTACGGACGAAGAAGAAAGATAGTCAAGTTGGAGACAGACGTGAAGAAAGCAACTAAAAAGAAACCAAGGAAGAGAGTTATAAAGCAATGAATTCAACAGGGTGAAAAAACAGGTGAAAAAAGAGGTGAGATCTCACCACTTCACCTAAATTTATTTTTGTGCTATGTTTTCATACGTGTGAGGGTGGTGATATCATTTATTTTTAAGTTTATTTTTTTTATAAATGACAGAACAAAAATATAACATTTCTACTCAGCAGGAATGAGACCCTTACTGACTATGTATTCGTTTAATGCTTGATGAAAACAATGGTACATATTATCGTATGGGTATACACAACGTCTGTTTCCATCGTCGTCGTATATGTAGAGCTCAAATCCAGTCCAACCTTCTTTTGTACAATATGTAGCTTTATTTAAGTATGCATTTATGTAGATAAGGCAATTTTCTTCATCGCTCCAGAAATAATTTTTGTTCTTTGTTGAAATAGTTTTCGTTCCTCTGCGACCATAAGGAATGTATGCAATGAACTTTGCGTCATATGGGATTGTAATATATTCAGGGTTTCTTTCATCGTCAATGGGTCTATCTTTGTTAAAATGCATGTTTCTCAGTTTTACTTGGGTTTTGAATAGTTCACGGAAACGTTCTGGGAAAGAGTCATAGTAAATGTAGTCAGACATGTCTTTGTAATGAAATAAAAAATTAAAAAAAAATAAAAATAGGTTATTTTTTATTTAGTGAGGACGGTAGTGAAGTCGTTAGTGAAGTCGTTTATGTGTCAGACGGTTTTGTAAATATTTAAGGTTAAGTTGGCGTTATGGTTGTGTTGTAAAATATACGTTACCGGTTTCGTAAAGTGTCAAAACTGTTAAGTGGTGTACGGAGGCGCGCAGTGCCACAGTACGCAACTTAGGGATACTAACTGCGGGTCCACTATAAAGAAAACATTTTCCTTGTCTTTATATTTTTCATACAACTCTGTCCAATGACATCTCACAAACTCTATACCCTCAATATATTTTTCTATGTCCTCTTTGAAAACATTTGTATAGTTAAGATATAAAACTTTTGACATAAGTGTTTCAATGTCATGAACTCTTATAGCACCACTATATAATAGTCTAGCAGATATACTATCCCAGTCTATATATTCTGCTTTTTTCAAAACCTCTCTCACAATATTTTTGTTATCTAATGGTATACGTTCCATCTTACCTATAGGTATCTTTTCTTTTAACTCTTTCAATATATTGTTTGTGTCTGGAATATGTTTGAGACGGTCCATATAGTTGTCGAAGTCATTGCATATAATCTTTGAGTCTGGGAATATTGTATGACATAAATGGGATATATAGAAACTTCCACCGAACAAATCTACAAATGTTAGACCATTCGGTAGTTTCTTAAGTTCTCTCAATATAATATCTTTACATCTACTCTTATTTCCAAAGAACGGTAACGGCGGTTTTGTAAAATTCATTTATATATAATAATAAAAATGTTTTCACCCGAAAAGTGATAGAAAAGTGACAAAACATGAAAACATATATAATTAGTGAAAAGCGACATAAAAGTGACATTTTAAAAAGTGACACTATTAATATGATGTAAATAACAACGGTTTTGGTTTTGTCACCGGCTGGTCGGCTGGGGTTCGGTCCTCCTCTTGGGTCTTGGGCAAAATTTCTTATGGGCTAGAGGGCGCAACGCGCCTGGAAGCCCCACTTACCTGACCTAATAGCCTCTCAATTGGATTAAAATATACTACTATTGAAATATATTTATAATATTCATCAATATTTAATTCGACGATTATTGGGGATTGGGATTGATCCCAGCCCACCTCTCAATTCCATTCAAAATTTGAATATGGGCTGGGCTGGGATTATCCCTAATAATCGTTATCGTTTATCTTCAAATGGCAATAATAGCTAAAAGATATAAATAGATATACTATGTGTTAAAATTAATATACCTCTCCCAATCATTGAAAAAAAAAACTTGGGCTAAAAATGTCACTTTTGGGCCGCCCAGGGCTAAATTTTTTTCGTTTTACATCCTTATTTATTCTGATTTTGGATTTTTTGAAATTTTTTTAGAAATTAGATGCATCGTAATAACTATGTATATATCATGAGATGATGAAATGAAAGCGATTTTTAAATAAATTCCAAAAAGAATTGTATTCAACATATATTGAAATCAAAATTAGTATGAGATTTGAATAGATAATGAAATTTAATTTGTAAAATAGAAAAACTACAAAATGTTAATAGAAGAGTGGTTTGATTAGATTTGGTTTTAGATCTATCGATTAAAATCACGAGATTTAATAACAATGGATAAATATAATATTAAATATTTAGGAAAATAAAAATAAATGGAATGGTACTATGGCCGAGTGGTCTAAGGCGATGGATTTAAGCCCCATTACCGCGAGGTGCCTGGGTTCGAACCCCAGTGGTACCATTTTTTCCTTTTTCTCCTGAAATTAAAAAGATTTCCCTCTAGGATTAACACCAAATCACTGTCATTTTTGTTGTTTGCATTGAATAACTATCTTTATCAAATCAAATTCAAAATTTTTATATTCATCAATGATTTTGTTTTTTCTTGGGCTTTCTTTTTCTAGGACCTTCTACATTTTTTCAAACGCTCCAGAAAATCAAAGTCTATGCACAATGATTGAACCTTGCCATATTTCTTCTATATTTTCAAATCTTTCGGAGAAAGATAAAATCATAATAACGTCAGATTCGCTCAATGATCAAGAAACAGATATTCTGTTTAGTAAAATTATATCTCAGCCGCTTTCATTACAAGTTTTGGGATCCAATACAAAATTATCACCAAAATCTCTTGGCAAAACTTATAATATTCAAGTTTTTGGACAAATAACAATGTCTAATTTCATATTCGATAGTATTAAGATTCATTTTGATCTCACTACATGTGCACTTTTACTTAATAATTCAATAATCAAAAACATTTCCTTTGAAACAAAGAAATCATTTGTAACAGCAACTTCATCACAATTATGTATATTGAATTCTCTCATAATTTCTAATCATAACATGAATATTTGTTTGTTAAATTCCCATTTAGACCTTATTAATTCTGCAATCCGAGACATTGTTACTCCTGGATCATTTCTATCGTTTTATAATTCAACAGCTACTATTTACAATTCCTCTCTCTATGAATTCTTCGGAAATCATTTTATTGAAGCTGCTGACTCAGAAATTACAACGTTTTGTTTATATGCTAAAGATATTCATACAGAAAAAGAGCTTATTTCTATCACAAATTCATTTTTCACTTCTTCTTATTCTCAATTCATAACTTTGCTCTCTGAAAGCAACATTTCTCTTCTCTCTTCGAATATGAGCATGATAGAAATAAACAATTCTATTATTACTGGTCTGATTTCCAGAGTTCCAACATCCGTCTCAATGTTTTGTCTGGATTCTAGTATCATATGCTGTAACATTACATTTACAAACCTTGGGCAATCAATATTTCTACTAGCTCGTTCTGTTCTTATATGTTTTCAATCTCATATCACCAAAAATTATATTCTTTATAAAAGTGACATTCCTTTGGCATTTATCCATCTTGTTATGGAATCAGAAGCGATATTTATATCTTCTTATATAGAAATGAATGATAATACTTATGGTTTATTTTCTGCAACGGATTCTTCTCTTAAATTAAGCGAAATATACATCGGACAGAATCAAGCCATGCATGGATCGTGCATATTTGGTTTTAATTCATCAATATTATTGATTGATTCCAAAATTGAATGTTGCTATTCCTCAGGAAATGGTGGAGCGATTTATGTGTATGATGGAAATATTTCCTTGCTCAATATAATATTCTTTTCAAACTCTGCACAGCTCGGCGGCGACATCTACTTGACTGGAAAATTTAATGCAACTTTGGATCACATAAAGTCTTCAAAATCTATGGCTTATATAATTGGAAAGTGCATCTATGCGGATGGAACAGGTATAATTACTGTAAATAGGTCTCAATTTAATTACCATATTGAAGAAGAAGCAATTTATTGCGAAGATGGGGTAAATATTACATTTGATAATAATAGAAAACCCCTTCTCCGACAAAATGCAACAAGAAATATAAATGTAATTAAATACCAACAAAAAGTGAAGGTAAAGAAAGAAACTCATTATATATTGTTTGTAATGCTATCCTTTGTAACAATCGTTGTTGTTCTGGTTGCTGTTTATGCAAATAGGGCAATGAAGAGAGGGAAGGTCGAACAAATCCTACATGAATTGGGAAAAGCTAATGATACTAAGTTTAAATGAAGAAATATATTTAAGTTTATTGTAATTTTCATGATCTTCCAATTTTAGTCGGTATAAAACGTTCTTGTTTGATATTAGTAAAATATTGTTGTTTATATTATTATGCAATCGATTACTATTTTCTTTCATTCCATATTTGCTCAATATTTTTTTTAGAAGCTATAAATAAGCTTCTTAAGATGATATACTTCTGGGATTCATTAATTTTATACTTAAAGAGTTCAATTCATTATTATTTTTCTTGAAGTAAAAATGAATACTCGACAAGGAATCCATCCTAACTTGGACCCAAACGGAACCATTCTGAAAAAAGTTAGAAGAAATTCAGATACAGGTCCAAAAGCTCCCATAAATCCACATTCGAAAGTTCTTAAATTTAAAAAAGCAAAGGGCGAGCCAGCGAACCAACAAACACTCTTTCAAGTTATAAACAAATTCAGAATAGAGTTTGGACAAGAACCAATTCAACTTGATAATAGATTATCTGAATACGTTACTAAATTAATTAATAGCAATGACACCAATATATCGCTAGAAAACATTTTTGTTGTTCAGAGTGGTCATTTTGTATACGACTTTAATGACGAATCTCCTTTACAATTAATCAGAAATTGGATTAAGGAACAAGATTTTATCGAAGTTTTAATGGCTCCAGCGACTATAGGATATTTAGATATAGTTCGGCTCGATGATCAATCTAGAAAGATCATTTTTATTTATGCTTATTTGTATTTGTAAATGTTTATTTAATAAATTGCTAAATTTCTGCAAGCATTAAGGATATTTTTGAGAATAACTTATTGAATAATTGAGAAATCTAGATATCTCGATAATTGAATCTTGATAAAAGGCTGAAAACGATAACATTTAACACTGTAACAATTTTTTGCTAATCCTTGATCCTTCATAAATTTGTTCAATTTCATGATTTCGATTTGAAAATTAAACTAAAAAAAGGGTAATATATAGTATAGACAGTATAGACATATAAAAAAATATGTATGACAAAGTTAAAGTTAAATAATGAATTTGATAAAATTTAAATGTAATTTTGAGAGAATCTAATATGTCGAATTAGATTACATTTATTTGCAATAGCTGAAGTCCTTGTGAAAATTTCCTCGAAAATAATGAATGTCAGAGCGAGACGATAAAAGAGGTTTTGGCCGTCCTTTTGTCTATGGGCCGCAAGAAATTAAGCCGCGCTCGCGAATCAATCATCAACTCCCTTTCTCTTGTCACAAAGTCTGGCAAATACCAACTTGGTATCGACAAGACACTTCAGTCCCTCCGCAATGGCGAGGCTAAGCTTGTTATCTTCGCATCAAACGTTGCCCCAGCTCACCGTTCCCTTATTGAGTACTACGCTATGCTCTCTGGCTGCGATATCCTCCCATTCGATGGTGACAATGTTGATCTCGGCACAGCTTGTGGTAAATACTTCCGCTCCTCTGTCATCTCTATCATTGATGCTGGTGAATCCGAAATCCTCAAGATGATCAAGCAGAAGGATGAGTAAATTACTTTTCAATAAAACTCTTCTACTGATTTGTTTACCAATCAACTTTTTTCCCTCTTAGATATTATGCCTCATTAATGACTGTATGAAAAATAATGTTTTAAATAAGGTATTTTTTGAACAAAAAGATTTTAATATTGTTTTAAGAATAAAATCTGCTAAGGGCTATGAATTTTGTTTGTCACACATATTTATTAAATAGTCAGAATCTAAATCAATGATTTTCTATCAATGTTATATATAACAACATTATTTACGGAATTTCTTCTGAAAAACATGTGTGAGAGTATCCTCATCAGATTAATGATTAATAAGGTTTCAATTACTTCTATTTAACAAATAATTTAAAATAATATAGATAGAAATTCTTTATTTTTAAAAAAAATAACATTAAAGGTAGAACAAATAGAAGAATAGGTTAGATAAGTTTATATATATAATGAGTTCGATCAATTAAAATAATTGAATTTATCTCTGATAGTGCAATATTGAAATTTCTTAGTCCTTCTTTGACTTATTAGATGACTCTGTCTTTGTATTGAAGACAAGACGCATAATCTTTTGGCAAATATGGAAGACGTTCAAGAATCTTCTATAAACGAATCTTTCGTAGTATGGGAGTGTTATGCAAACTCCGTAGAGAAGATTAATGAGTAAGAAATAGATCTGCCTGTTTGTATATCTCATGATAGAAGCAACAAAGAATCCAGTGAGTGATGTGAATGTGCGAACAGAGGAGAGAGCAGTGACACGGATGTTTGCCGGGATATTCTCCTTTCTAAGAGTAACCATAACAGGTGTGATAAGGCCATCGAGAAGTCCTAATAAGACTGTTGTTAGGAATTGGAATGCATCATTGTCATAGAGAACCCAACCTAAGAAGAAGACAACTGCGTAAGAGATGAGAATAGCTTTGTGGAGGGTATAGTCTGAGAACCACATTTCAAGGAATGTTGAAACAATTGTTCCGAGTGTTCCCATTGCATTGAATGTTGACATGATAACAGAGAAAGGAAGGTCTTGTTTGATGAAGTTCGTGGCAAGCATAGACTTGAAGAATCCCATTGAGAAAACATAGACTGTGTCGTAAAGAACCAATGTGACTGTTTGGATTGGTACTTCTATCTTCTCTTGCTTAGCTTCTTCTGTCTTCTTCTCTGCCTTCTTGCCTGATGTTAACAATGACATGATATATATAATTGGAAGAATAACAACAACATAATAGATGTTAAGGACTGTGTAGGTCTTGTAAACACCATACTTGAGAACGGCCTTACTAATGGATGAGGTTGTGATGAGATCAATGCTGAACTGGAAAACCATTCTGTAGTTCATAAGACTGTGTAAGATCAACAAGCCAGTTGTCGAGGGAGATCTTTGTGAGCATATATGAGAATCCCCAGATAAGTCTGCTGATGTAGGCATAGATTGAATCTTGTAAGAGAAGAATGAGGATTGTTGAAGCAAACTTGCAAACGCAGCAGAATGCAAGTGTGAAGCGGGTGCCAAGTCTGTTAAGAGTTGGGGTACATAGGAGAGAACCAATAATAGATGAAACTTGATAGCAAATATAAATTGTGTTGATTTCATACTTGCCATATCCTTTAAGCTTCATAAATGGTGTGTAGTAAACAGAGCAAATAAGATCAGGGAAAATGAGGGCAAAGTAGTACAGTATACATTGTGCGTCGCCTGTAGCCTACAGCTACAGTCACCGACACAATGAAAAAAGTGACAGAAAACTGACACCATACGGGCGCGCATATGTACGCATATATGTGTAAAAATAAACGTTCATATGTAAACTAACCTTTATTCACTAGCAGGAGCTTTGTTGTTCGCTTCCATTAAAATGTAAACTTTACGTGTCAAAAAATTCTGTCACGTAAACTATTTATGTTGAGATTGAGTACCAGACTCTAATATAAGTTCAACCATTATATTAGAGTCTTTAGGAATTTCATATGGTTCTTTTACATAATATTCCTTTTTTTGACCATCAGTTGATTCTTCAACTCTTTTGAATGAAAAGCGCTTATAAAACTCAAACACGAGTGCATCTTTATAACCAGTGATATCGTAAAATTTTGGTGGCACAAGCTGTTCATTCACATTACATATAAATTGTTTGTTATCATGAGCAATATTACTCAACGTTACTAAAGGCTCAAGGAGAGGATTTATTTTTATCTGATAACCGACAAATTTATATGTTGGTTTGCCCTTTCGCTCAAGGATAAACCTGATATTCGCTATAGTTATGAAAAGCTCATCAAAGTACTTATATGTTTTTTTATCTTTATCATTTTCGTCAGTGAAATCTGCTATGGTAAAACTATAATATACATGCATTCGCGAGATATATTTTTTTTCCCATAAGTCTAAAAATTTTGCTTTCGATGGAATTACTTTTTGCGTGAATGTTCTACCATGGTCATCTTCCCAAACAAGCTCTGGTTTTCTTGATGTTGTGTCTGTTTCAGTGGTTTCTAATAACGCAGTGATGAAATCCAACACATCTCCTAGGGACATGTCATATTTATAATTCAAGGCATTTTTTTCTATACTACTGTATGAAGGTAATGTTATGATTGGTGATGTACCTTTTCTTAATACATTCAATTTATTTTCATTTGAATCATAGTAACAATCAACAAATTCTCTACTTGCCTCAGTCATTTTTTCCATAAGACCTTCATTCAACTCCTGTGTAGTCATGTTGGGTTTTATGTAATATCTCATGTCAAACCTTTTTTTCACTGATTTTGATGAATCTGTCATTTCTAATGGAATAGCAAGAAACTCAAAGTCTGGATGCTCAAGACTTATCTTTCTTATCTCAAGAGCTTTTGACGCAGGATATTCAATGAAGTCTCTCGGTAATTTATATGAGACTGTATTACCACTTATCGTGCCATCATTCATAACATGTTCATAGTATAATCCATCATATTTAGACATTTTATATGTAACTAAAAGATGGAGAAAGTTATTAATCAAGTAGATAAGATTCTTCATGATGGAGCACGTAAGAATAGTAAAGAACTAAACAATGCACTCATTATGCCATTTTCTGATGATTATCCATTTTGTACTAATGGTGTTTATTTCTACTGCGGTAAGATGGGTTCAGGTAAGACATATGGTGTTATTCGTCATATAATGATAACAGACCGCTTCACTAATACTCCATATTATGACTCAATAGTTATCTCAGCAACATCAGGAACAATGGATAAAACAGCGAAGACATTTATGAGTCAAGTTAAAGCACCAGTACTGAAAAAGGATGATAAAGAACTTATGCCTTATTTAATGAAGAACGTTAAGATGAAAGCAAAGTATTACGCTATTGTTGAGTTCGTTCAAAGTAAGTTCGAAAAAATTTCAGAGGAGATGGAACACATCTTAACAAAGCATCAACTAAGGAAACCTGATGGAAAGTTTGAGTATAAGAAGATTGCAATATATGTTGTAAAGAAGTTGAACAAATATCCTTTCACAAAGTATCCCAGTAATTCTCTATTAGTGTTAGACGATTATGGTGGTCATGACTTATTGAATGACCCACGTTCACCATTAGCGAACTTCATCACTAAGGTCAGACATTATAACTATACTGTTGTCATCATGTGTCAAACATGGAGACATATATGTTTAAACATTAAGAGACTATGCACTGACTTCGTTATCTTTCAAGGTTATTCTATGAGAGACTTTCAGTCAATGATTGAACAGTCAGGAGCAACAGAAGATTGGGAAGAGTTATGGAACAAATACAAAGAGCTACCAACACCTCGTTCATATATGGAAGTTCATATAGTTGCAGGAAAGACGGACTTTAAAGAAGTTAAGCAACAAAAGATGACATTATTTTAAGAAGAAATAAATGGGTTTTGGCGATTATGTTAAAGCTGGATGGGGTATGGTGAAAAAAAATCCTGGTCTTGTAATAGGTGCTGGATTTAACATTGCTAACAAACTTTTCCCTCAAGTTGGTCAAGTCGGTGGTGTTATCGGTAGTCTTGGTGAAAGAATTGCAAAAACTACATTAGGTGAAGATAATGCATTAACGAAGAATCTTAAAGCATTCAATAAAGCTCTTGGTGGTGACTTCAGTAGAGACAAGCCTGTTGAAACACCTATAGTTCAACCTCAACAAACTATTGACAACAATAAGTATAACGCATACATTGGAGGAGCTATTTGGAACAATCATAAGCCATTAGTTCAGTCAGTACGTGTACTATCAGACATGCCATGGATTAATGCTATTAGTGGCACTATACGCAGATAATATATTTTTATGAGGTTTAAATGAGTGAACAAGAGAGGAAACTCATTGATGAACGAGTTAAGAAATGGGAGAATGAACGTCCGATAATTCGTACCATAATTAGCGATCAAAAGTTCAAGCAGCATACATTTGATTTTTTGCGCGATATATATAATGATCTTGCTTTTGATTACAATGCTAGGCAATACTTTGAGAAAGAATATGTTCAAAAAGGTCGTATTAATTTCCCAATGAGAAGAGAAGGCTTTTTGATTACATCAACATATACAGCACGTGGTAGAGACCCTTTTACAGACGCGGTTCGTAACTTTAAAGCACGTTCTTCTATTAATGATGATCCAGATTTCTACATACCTTATTTTCGTCCACCTTCGCATCCTTTACGAACCAGTGATCCTGGATATGACGCTAAACGAAGATATATAGAGACGAAATTAGCTAAATACAAGGAACCTAAGGATCCAAGGACTGGAGAAGTAAAGGAATCACATGTCAAGATAAATAAGCTTTACAAAGTAGTTGAAGAATTGGAGAAACGATCTAATGAGATTAACGCTGAGAAGAAAAAGGAAGTACCAAATATGAACAAACTAGATAAGATGATTAAGGAATATAGAGGATTGGCGAATACATCGAGCGTTCTAATAAAGGAAGTAGAAAACACGACAAAGCTGCAGAAAATGATTCATGATGAATTACTGTTAGGTGAATTTTCTATAAAACAAAGACAGAGTAACTTAATGGGTGAGGCTTATTATTTGGAGAATTGGTATAATGAGAGGTTAAAACAAATGTCGACTCCAACACCAACTCCTACACCTACTCCTACAGTAGCTCCAACACCAACTCCCACTCCTGAACCAACAGTAGCTCCAACGCCAACTCCTACAGTAGCTCCAACGCCAACTCTGACACCAACTGCTCACGCAGGTCCTCCACCAATGTCGAGTAGTCATGGTATAACATTAAATAAACCAACACCTACACCAAAAATAACTCCTGTATCACATCCTAGTACAACTAACCCAGTATCTGATTCAAATCAAGCGGAAAGATCACAGGTTCTTAAAAGAGCTAATACACCAACTGCTTCCCCTATTAGAACACCAGAGCCAACTCCAAGAATCACAAAGGCGCCAACACCTTCACCGACTGTTGAACCAACTCCAGAACCAACAGTACCTCCAACTCCATCTCCAACTCCATCACCGACACCTACAAAAGCACCTACTCCATCTCCAACTCCGACTAAAGCTCCGACACCGTCTCCAACACCAACTAAAGCTCCAACACCGTCTCCAACTCCAGCTGAACCAACTGATGCAGAATCTATTCAAAATTGGTTAGACGAAGAAAAGCGAAAAGAAAAGGCTGCAATTGATGCTGCACTAGATAAAAACACACCACCACAGACACTTGGTGGTTACATGTTAAAGAAAGACAACATTCAAAGACAAGAACGTGCATTGAGTGTTGCCAGAGAACAAGCACAAGAAGAGAAGAAAATAGTTGAAGGAGAAGCTTCAAATAGAGGTGGTCCAGGAACTTACAAAGGATCAAACTATCCAGCAGAGAAAGCCTCGAGTGATAATGTTGTCTCAAGAGCTACTGATTTAGTTACCCATGGTATTCTAACTGGTGCAACAGCTGTTGGTAGTGCTATTGGAACCAGTGTTGACACTGTTGTTGATACTGTAAGAACTGTTACAAATCCTACACCTGAAGATAGGAAGGAAGAATTTCTTACTCTTAATACAAAGGCAAAACCAGGGATATGGATTGGTCGTGGAATTTTAAATGCTGGTAGTGCTATTGGCAATGGTGCTTCAGCGGTAGGGGGATGGCTCGGAAGAACAGCAACATCAACCGCAAATGGAATACTAACAGGTGCCAAATCACTTGGTAATTGGGCTGATGATAAGTATACAAAATATTATGAAGAAAAAGCTCGTAAGGCTAAGGAAGAAGCTGAACGAAAGGCGAAAGAAGAAGCTGAACGTAAAGAACTAGAGGAGCTTAAGAAGAAAGAAAAAGCTCGTAAGGCTAAGGAAGAAGCTGAACGAAAGGCGAAAGAAGAAGCTGAACGTAAAGAACTAGAGGAGCTTAAGAAGAAAGAAAAAGCTCGTAAGGCTAAGGAAGAAGCAGATAGAAAGGCGAAAGAAGAAGCAGATAGAAAGGCTAAGGAAGAAGCTGATAGAAAGGCGAAAGCAGCAACACCATCGCCAACTCCATCTCCTTCACCATCTCCATCTCCTTCACCATCACCAACTCCATCGCCATCTCCATCTCCTTCACCATCAAT